TTTTTTTTGGAGCTCAAATATATAGTAATAGAGGAAAGGAAAAAAAAATGCATATTACTTTGAGATATATTTCTATCTCTCTCTTTTTTATTTTTGGGATATCAGTTACAATGATGACACCAACTTTGAACACTGTGACGCATTTATTCCCCAACATGCAAGAAAAAAACACAACAACAACAAAAAAAACCCCCAATGATTTTACAGGTTTATAAAAAGTCAATATTACTTACACGGCACGTAAAACACCCCTCTAAACCACCACCATCACACTTGACATTAACTTCAGAACGGGACACATTTCACATAGATGCTTGTGGTTCTTTACGGCTCTCCGTCTACGTCTGAAATCGCTGCGTTGTACTCGGGTAATATTCGGTTCGGCTGTATCTGGTCATGCGTGTTGTACTGTTTTGAGTTAGTATAGGAATGTACAGTAGTCATGCATAATAAAGATACCCTGCTATACAAAGGGTGAGCGCTAGGTGGCAGACTTTGCCCACTTTTGCACACAGCTCCAGTCTGCCTGGGATGAAAATGTCAAGTCATGGCAGGGGAGAGGAAGGGACATGCATAGGGTAAACATTACACTGGGAGTCAGGTGTATTGCTTTTATAGATGTGCGTTTATCCCTCCGTTGAGATTTCTTTCCTCTAGAATGATGCATCCTCTCAAACCTCTTTCCTGCAACTCGACGCCGCCGGCGTCTCCGAAAACAAAACAGATCTCCGGATGCTTTCTTCTTCACCTGCATCCCTCGCCGTTTTATTTCCCTTCACTCCCACCTTCAGTCTCTGTTCCTTCCTTTCCTCCCTCCTCCTCCTCTCTGCAGGGCAGCCGGAGAGACTGGCATTTCTCTAACAGCGGGTGGGGGGAATCTGCACCCAGCCTCGGCCCACGCTGGGCGACGAGAGGGTGGGTGTGTCGATGCAAACAGAGGTGTGTGTGACTGCTAACACGTGACCGGATACCCCCCCACCACCACCTCCAATGCTAGATCAGCCTTCGTGAGAAGAAGAGTTTGCCTCCCTAATTCATCTGCACCAATTAAGCTCATTGCCTCTAAATTCTAAAGATTTGGCACAGCCGGATGAAAATGAGAATAGTTGGGTATGAATCACAAACACCTGTCCTGGAGGTGACCGGCTACTCCAACCTTGGCCTGAAATCCCCCCCAACACCTGATACAAGCTGCTCGTCAAGGTCTTTGAATTCATTTAGCTTCGATTAAATTCAGCTCCTCACGCTTCCCAGGACTCCTGCCAAATGTGACTCGTGTCAACACGGGCTGACAACAAATGAACAACCTTATTTTTTTTGTGCAAAACGTGTCTAGTGAGGGGAATGGGCAAGCTTAAAAAAAAATGGAGGGCTCAGAAAGATCGGATGTCAGCGAGGGGGAGGGAGGAGATGGTCATGGTTCGGTCTCACTGTCCTTTTCGTGAGAAGTAATAACAGGGAGTAACAAGTGAGGGAGGACGAGATGAGCGACGACAGCAGGGTGAGTCAGGGATGAGCGCCCGCTGTGTAGATGAGTTGTGCCTGTTTAGCCTCGACAGTGATAAGGGAGGAAGGAGGGCGAGTCGCGGGTCGATCCTTCCACTCCGTCAAAAAAAAAGCGTTTTAAGGAGGGGAGAGCGAAGATAAAGCAGAGAGAGAGAGAAAGGGGGGGGGGGGGGAGAGAGAAAGAGAGAGTCAGGGGTGGAGGAGCAGAGGTGGGCGTTAGATGTGTCGGTGCAGCTCCGGTAGCGGGGAGGAGGAGAGGGCCGGTCGAGGTTCAACTCCTCGGCTCTTCATGAAGGACAGCAGCTGGTCGGGGATCTCGGCGAGGACGTCTTTGGCCAGCCGGGCCATGCTCAGGACCTGGTTGCCGGATCTGTCGATGTAGTCTCTGAACGGAACAAACTGGGAAGCAGAGCGAAATGTAAAAGTTTAGACTGTTGCAGCCTTTAACACACTGTGTTCCAAAGTGAGAAGTGTCGTATCAGTAGGGTTGCAGTAAAGCATTTGCTTGTTTCAGATAGATGGTATCAATCTCATACACAGGGTTTGCCAGGTGATCCTAATGGAGGAGCTTCATCCTCTGGACCCCACAAACCTTTTGCTAAAGTTACACCATTTATCAGAACCCAAAGCAGTAAAAAAAAAAATCCTCAGCATTCAGTTTTCTAATGATCCTGGAAAGAATTAGATGTGACAAGCAGTTCTTGGGAGAATTAATAAAATCTAATTTTGAAATTTTGATATTTTATCAGTGTTTTCTACATAAACAAAAAAAAGCCAAAAATTCAGCAAAAGGAAAAAAAAAAAGCTGCAAAAAAGTCACATGACAAAAAATTCAGGGTGGTCTCGGCTGAACTGCAGGCTGTGTTCAAACAGAGCAGATAGGAGACAAGTTTAGACAAAATTAAAAACATAATTAGTAAAATCTCTACAACATGTGAAGCCACCTTTTTCCCCCTGGTATTGGTTGCACCTACAACATTGTTCAATTTTATGAAGATAATAATATAAATTCAACTTTCATTCCCTCACTGAGCAAAACCGATGTAATGTTTGGATTCAACACATTGCAATTGTCCAAAATCAGCTCAAAAAACTTTGACACCAAAATGGGTGTAGACCAGTGTAATTAACTGCATATATCCCTGATAATTATGAAGTTCACCTTTTCTTTTTCTCACCTGTGGGGATATGACAAGAGTAAACTTCCATATATATTTAACCGTCAACTTGTCTACTTTTGATTGATACTAGATATGCAATGTCACGTCTTCTTAAGAATTTCTGAGTGCATGTTAGTAGCTGGTGCATGGCAGGAAGAGGAAGTGGAAACTATATCAAGGCAGAAAGGTGTTGTAGCTGCATCAGGGATGGATTTTAAAGCTGTCCTGCCTCTGGAGCTTTAACTAAGGACCTCGAGGGACGTTTCTGTCCTTCTCACAGTTGCAGCTTTTATCAAATAATGATTGCGTCCCACAGTGCATCAAAGTTGGAATTACAAGTAGAGAGCAGCGCCATGATTAATATGGTTAGTGTTTTTTTCTAGCCCAGCTTGAGAGTGACTCATGTTCAACATTTTGAAGTTCATTAAACATTTTTTTTTTTTTAAACCATCCTGTTATGAAACCATTCAGCACTCAAGAAAGGGCCCATTTAGTACCATTCACTTCACACTTCCTACATAACACAGCGAATTTCCATCAGTTTACAGCGAAAAGGGCAAACCGAGTAATGCGATTTGAATTTATGGCAGGAGGTAAAGAATCAACGTGGAGGCAGTGAGGGCAGCCATCATATCGAATTAATGAGAAGAAAGCATGAAATGTTAAGTGAGTGAACTTTTTTTTTTTCTTTTTTTCCCCTCTCCTCTCCACCACCTAGTGTAAACATCCTGATTGAATTATTGCCGTAATAAGGTTAAATACAATCAAAGGATTACTGCGTGCATGCAAATGTGATTACTGCTGTCAGGGAAACAAACTGAAGGGACAGCACTGTGAAAACATGATAGTAATGTCGATACAGCTTTGGCACCGAGGCATGAATTATTCAGCTATTAACCTGGTGTGGGGTCACATTTACTAAACTGTTCCTTCCCTCGGTGCTGACTGACACTACCAGTGTGGGAATATGAACTGAACTGGCTTCACCTTCACCCTAGAACACACCATTATTGTTAAAATACCTTTTATGCACAATAAACAGCCGTTGCCAGTTTAATAATGTAAATTTCCTCAGTTGTAAATACTCACATGCACCCCTGCACACCACACATTTATCACTCTAAGTGCTCGTTTATCATCGCACCCTCTGCCCAGTCTTCCTCACTACTATCCAAAAAATTCAATAGCACATTGTTATCAGGGGCTATTGTATTTGCTTCCTATTTATGTTCTCATATCTCTAAAAGGCTCTTTAAAATAACCGTTGCCAGATGTGTTTTTTTTATCAGCCCTCAGATACACTTGCTGCTTGCTCTTTTGAAAAACTTACTGCTAAAGAGTTTTTTTTTAGAACGAGCTGTTCTCTCTTTTTGAGTTCAGAAATGATCATAAAGGGGAAAATTCCTTGGCGTCACTTTTCGCTACTTTTACAGTCACCAATAAAAACTTTTTTGGTTGTAGAAGTACTTCCAAATTTGTACAGTTACTAATTAGTGGTGGAACACAATTTAAAAAAAAAAAATCTGATTAATTAAAGGCTTTGTAATGAGTTCATCTCGATTAATCCTTTTTTTTTTTTTTTTTTAGTGGAATAGCGCAATTTGACACAATAAGCAAAGTTTTCCAATTCTTTTTCTTTGTGTGTGTCAAAAATGTTTTTTAAAAAAATCTATATTAATCCATGCATTTCTTAAAAATCTGTCTACAACATTCACAGATTAGTGCAAACTCAAAGTGCAATTACCGGTGTGCCACAAATTAAGGTGCCTAGAAAGGTGCAATTACCGTAAATTCTAGACAATTGAGCACCTGAATATAAGCCACACCCACTAACTTTAAAAGAAAACAAGTTTTGTACATATATAAGCTGCACTTGTCCACGTTGGAACATGAGATATTTACACAGAGATTTTTTTTATACTTTTAATTAAATACGTACCAGTTACATACACAAATGCTTTTTTCTGAACAGAGCTTGTAACACGGCTGGTTAAGAAAATAAAAAATACAGTAGCCTTCCAGGAAAAGTCATTGATTGCTATCTTCATCTTCCTCCTGCACTAAAACCACTAAAGTCGTCTTCTTCAGTGTCGGAATTGAACAGAATTACTTCGTCACAGACTTCCTCAGTCTCTCTTTCATTATTGCTCTCAATGTCACTTTCGTCTTGAGGCAAATTCGTAAAAATCCATAAATTAGCCGCATCGTTGTTTAAGCCGCAGAGTTTAAAGCGTGTGAAAAAAGTAGCGGCTTATAGTCTGGAAATTATGGTAAATGCGTTATTTTTTTCTGTAGTTAATTAATCTAAATCAACACGTTGAAGTCCCAGCCCTAGTACTAACACACTTACACATTACAGGCTGAGCATGATTCCATCAGAAACCCACAATAGAGCTGCTAGTTTATATCAAAATAAATGTTAGGAGACACAATCTGAAAGGTAGACATGGTGAGGAATGCTGTCAAAAGTCTCAGCGTTCAAGGCGAAATCTAAAATGTCTTGTTTTGTTTGACTTTCCAAAATCAAAATCGTTTACTGTCATAGATGTTTAAAAGAAACAGAAACAATAAGATTTGAGAAGCTGGAACCAGATAATTAATGACCTTATTAATTGTTCCAGCTTGACCAAGATGCACTTCAGCATATTCTCACTTTTTGTTTCCTACTTTTTGTCATTTTTCTGAGAGGCCAAAGTGGTGAATTTTAAAATGGTGGATGAAACAACCATACGGACAACGTTTACATGAATATTCACCATCAGAAGCAAAGGTACGAGGGCAGAAGAGCGTCTGACTCTACTGGAGGGGGTGCAGGAACACATTTGCGTCAGAATCGCAATTTTGATCAACTGCGATTGCTGCATGTCTTTTTATTCATTAAAGTTCACTGCAGGGGGTGCGTCAATGTCAAAAATAAGACGACAGAGAGTGTCTATGTCAAAGCCAGCAACGGTTTTAGCTGCTGATGGAAACCTGCAGGTTCTCCTTCTTCTATTTCAAGTGTTTACCTCAGCAACCCACTGAATATGTAAGTGTCTTAGCGCGTCTCCAGCATCCCAAGGCTAAACATTATGGAACACCTAAATACGCACTGTTTACAATGTACAGGAGGACTGCACATTATCACTTATGGGGGAAAAAAAAAATGCTCTGCTTTCCACAAAATGCCATAATTGGACTGGAAAATGCATTAGGAAAAAAAAAACACACAACAAAAAACAGTCGGCCTACTGCTGCTCACAACAACAGATACTCAGAGCCTCTTTGGGATAAAAATAAATGCGCTGCAACTGTCAGAACAGAACCAGAGAGGAACTGGAATGTGTTGTTGTCCAAGAATAAACACCAACATTTCTTATGTGCTTTCAGTCCAGTTGTGGCACCTGTTGGCGGTAATACAAAAAGTGCAGTTTGTTCATGTCGTTAAAATGTTTTTATCAAAACATTCGACTAGAAATTCTACTGCAGCCATGTAGCTGTGTAGTGTTTCTGTGTCAGTTTCCCTCTTTGATGCCTGAAACTTACTGGCGTGTTTGCAAGGCATCATCTTTAAAATCTTCATAATATATATATTTTTAAACTTTAAAAGAATACCAAAATAACAACATATTTAAGAGTCAGCACTGTTAATCGTGTGCGACATGTGGTTCTGTTGGAAGAAATTAACCAAATCTCAATTTAAGATTGTGTAAGTTTATCATTTTCACTTTATTCTACGTGCCTCGTTTAAAAATGTGACAAAAATGAACAGTTTTGGTAAAAAAATAAAAAAATAAATAAAAATAAAAATAAACAATATGCGCTATTGGTGCAACCAATATTAGTGACCCAACTGTGACCAACATTCAGCAGATCAAAATTCAGGGACTGCTCGATTGAACTGCAGGCTGTGACTGAAAACTAACTGAAAATGAAAGCAGTAAAATATCTCTGGCAGGGATTCTCAACCTTTCTGCTGCCAAGGCCCCCTGAGTCCAGTGAAAAATTCCAGCCTCCCCTCCAGAAATGAAGCTCTACTTTTAGTTTAGTTAGATAGTTCCTCTCGTTATTTTGCCATTTTTAAAAATAACATTCACAGCCATGTCAGGGGCCCCCCTTCCAGCTTTCTGTGACCCCCTCGTGGGCCGTGGCCCCCCTGTTGAGAACCACTGGTCTATAGTATGTAGAGCAGGGGTGTCGAATCCTGGTCCTCGAGGGCCGCAATCCTGCATGTCTCAGATGTGTCCCTCTTCAACACACCTGATTCAAATGATCAGGATCGTTCTCAGGCTTCTGCAGAGCTTGATGATGAGCTGATCATATGAATCAGGTGTGATGGAAGAGGGAAACATCTGAGACATGCAGGATCGCGGCCCTCGAGGACCAGGATTGGACACCCCTGATGTAGAGTCATCATTTCTTTTCCAGTATTGGTAACACCTGGGGACACCTGGACCATTGCCTTTTTTTTAACATTTGTAAAACAAACAATTTAAGAAATGAAACTGTTTCTTTGTTTTTATATATATTTCATGGCATTGTAACTGTTGAACTGCACAAAGGACGTTGTTGAGTTTTCTCTACTTCTAGCCACCGTTGCTCCAATAAAGGGGGGAGCTGGGCTTCAAAGGGTTAAAGGTAGAACCACAGCATCAACTGTACATAAGAATAAATGTTAGCTGATTTTATACTGGGGCAGTGGATGTGAAAAAGTGAAACCAGAAGTATTGCACATTTAAGCAAGCTGTTACCGTGAGCCCATTGTGTGGTGCACCATAGATGGATCCTGTATACAGTACCAGGCAGTCCCCAGCGACTGTTTGAATATGTGTTGTGAATTTAAGCCGTCCTCCTTCGGGGATTTATCCCCCATGCTGCTGTTGTTGACAGAAACACACTCAAGCCTGACCTGCTAAGTTAAATGAAATTATGAGGAGTACCTGAACGATGTCTCTCTCAGCAAGACGTCCTCTGGAGGATACTCTCACCTCATCTCCATCCAGCTCCTCCATAGCTAAAAGGAGAGAGAGAGCGACAGAGGGGATGTGACTCAACCATAGAACCACTGGGGGAGAATATAAAGAAGGTGCAAGATTTCCCTTTGTATTTTCATTGCATAATTGCTGAAGTGGAACACAGCGTGGGGACTAAGAATGAGCGCTCAGCGGAGAACAGTCAAACTGCTTTATGCACCAAAATGTAATTCCTCAAGCAAAAATGACAATTACACCACAAGTGGGAAAAAGAAATGAATTTTGCTGAGAACTCAATAGCCAAAGCGCTTTTCAGACATTTCAAATGTAAAAAAAGAAGTATTTGTTTCAAAAATCGAGATATCAAAAAACAACACCTGCACAATTGTGTATATCTCGCATCTGGCACAGACACCAAACAGCCCGGCTTGTGCAACGACGTGAGGCCGAATCAGCAAACAAGCTCAGACGCAATCAGAAAATATTAGAGGACAAATCTTACAAAGCAACGTGCAAGAAGCCGAAAAGGAAAAAAAAACAACCCTCAGAGACATGTTCAGAAATGTAGACTCAAGACAGAGCGAAGAACAAACAGAGGCAATTAGGCCTGGAAATAAGGTGTACACACACACACACACACACACACACACACACACACACACACACACACACACACACACACACATATACACGCTCTGAGGTGCTATTAAACCACTTTGACCTTGTGACCTCCAAACACGCCTGAGTGCTTTCACCACCAATCCCGCCATTCGATTGCTTAAACAAGTGGAAAATGATGGGCCATCCAGCACACTGATGAGACGTCGAGTCGTCACACCCCGCCGAGCGGCAACACACTCGCGCACAAACGGTCCCCGCTGAAAAGTCTTTCATTGATCCGCGGGCTGTGAGATGCCTGCGCACTTGACTTCATTGACTTTCCTCGGCAGCTCTCCCAGGAAAAGGGAGCAGGATGCTGGTGTACATGAAGAACCAATTAGGAACCAGCTGCTGCCGCCGCTGCGGTGGTGGTTTCCTGTTTGGGTCCCGTCAAGTCGAGGGAAAGTCAAGGTGAAGGAAAGAGCGCTGCCTGTCGTTTAAAGGCATCACATCTTTGGGCCTTTGTGAAGTCAAGGCTGGTGGATTTAATTAAACCTGTTTACATTTCAAATTTATTCACGTCGTGCTTCGTGTCAGCCATCATGCGTCGCTACACTGTGAACAATGTGATCGCTGGTGATGCTACAGATGATGATCGGGTGGAGAGAGCTTCAACATTTTCATAAAGACACGATGCATTTTTGGTGAGACATGTTAACCTATAACTGAACGAATATTTTAAGGATTTTCTGCATGATCTGTGGCAAAAAAGGAAAAATAATTGTGTCACTGGAGAAAAGATGCATCATATTAGGTTTATATACTTGTAACTTTACATGTGCACTCCACGGGGAAGTAAGCACATCGTTAAATATAAATAATAAATGCATAGCAAACGTCCTAAATGCTGGTAAGATGATATGATTAAACATAGAGTACATACACTGCCTCCGGGCTCACCTCACAGCATTTACACACTCACACACACACATATACATATACACACTCCCCACTGAATCCCTGAACTATACTATCAGTATATCAACAGCATATTAAAATCAGGGTTATATGTAGATAAAGATGTTAAGGTTGTGTCTGATTAATGCTTATGACTGACGTTCTAACTGATTTTAAAGATTCTGATAACTTCCAAGGCCCCTATATTAATTAAGATCTGGGCATGCTCCAAGAAAACCTCAACCAGTCTTGTGTTGATGTTGTTGTCTCATTGGGTTATTGGGTTGGCTTGGTCTTGATTTAAATGAAATCTCTCATACAATTATATATATATGAGTTCTGCCACTGTCTGTGCGGCTCTTCACGGGAGCAAAAATCACAAATTTGCCTCCGATGATGTTCTCGAGTAACAGGGCCTCAGCCAAAGACCCGGCCAAGAAGCACATACTGCTCATCCAATCTGCTCCAATCTTAGCACCGTATTTCCTCTGGTCCTCAGTAAAAGACCTACCAAGTTTGAAGCAGATCGGACAAAGGGTTGGCAAGACAGGCGAAAAACATGGACGAGCATTCCTTAGTCTCTGGCCAAGAAACCATTAAAGCAATCTGTGACCCAAAGTGCGAACCTGTACCTCTCTAATGCATCCATTGCAACAAACCGAATCAACAAGACTCATCTGCAGCAGCTGTTGGGGATAACTGCATCCGTAATAAAGCGTGTTTTAAACAAAGTTAAAAAGCTCCGCAGAGTCTGAAACCTCACCACATTGCTGCCCGGTGTTCTTGACAGGCTGCAATTATGGCGTGAAGCTTCACTGTGAGGTTTTAATTTATTTCCAACACAAAGTCTTGAGTGAAACCCTCATTATACAACGAAGGTGAAGTGACACCTTAATATGTAACTGTTACCTAAGACCTCTGAGACTCTGGTTCCGGCCCACCTGAAGGACATCATTGCTGTAGCATTTTGCTTGCGGGTGCCCTTTAGGGGTATTTTTTTGGATTAAATCTTTCATGCATATGTGTTCGGTCAGTGTGGATATGACTTGGATTACAACATGCATAGCAACAGGGGCTCCACCAACAAGCAGGATCCCACAAACAGCCACCGCTCAACCGATCTGCTTTAAACTCAACACTGCGCTTCCTCAAGTCCCCGGTGATACAATCAGCAAGCAGACTGGATGCACGGTTGTCTAGAAAAGCAAAAAAACCACACCAGAATTTTAGTTAGATAAATCACACAGTGGGGTTGCTGTTCAGCTTGGCCGTGACACTCTTGAAAAAAACATGTTTCATTTCAATGAGGCTTCCCTGGTTAGATAAAGATTCAATTAATAAGCTTGAATAAATACTTAACCACAAATTCTGCCAGTGAGAGATATCATTTCAATCTTCAAAATCAGTAATTACCACTTAAAAAGGAGAAAACCTCTGACTAAATACAAAGACCTGTTTCAAAAATGATTACAGGTTTTGCAGTAAATCTGTTGCCATTGTACCTGAATATGTGCTCTAAAGGATCATCGATTTAAAACTAATACAAAACATACAAAGTACCAAAAATGA